AAGTGAATGGCTGCCAAATAGATCTTTAGAAATGCTCATGTTGTTGTTGCAGATGAAATAAAACACGGATAACGTTACATTAATATTTCATCACCTTAAATGTTGATTATTAGTCACTCAAACCCCTTTATCTAAACCTCTCTACGTAACCGTCGGTCACGCACATCTGCCATGTTTTGTAGTTTTCTGAACACTTTTACTCTTGTTTTGAACTGAATCCTCCTCTATTAGCTGTTATAGTGAGCAAGGATCCACACTTCGAAAATCTACTGGATATAGTAGACTCTTGGCATACATACTGTGCTTTGGGACACACTTTTTTTAATCTCACATACTGTTTAGGATAGATAGAGAGCAGAGACACTCACAGGCAGAGTCCGGCTCCCGTGCAGACTGTTAATGGCAGACTGGGCCTCAGAGTGACTCTGGTACTTCACAAACGCACAACCTGTGAAAACAACAGAAACATCAGATTGAGTTTGTGTTTGTTAACACGCATGTGTACGTGTCTGTTAACAGACCTTTACTGGTGCCGTCAGGTCCTCTCAGCACTGTGCACTCATCGATGCTGCCGAACGGTTCAAACATCTTCTTCACGTCCTCATCAGACTGTTGCTTTCCCAGCATCCCCACAAACAGCTTCCGGTCCTCTGTAAAGAGGGAGAAATGGTCAAGATCAGTTATTCAACATCATGGACCTGGCTTTATTAAACTCCAGGTTTTTGTAAGTGTCTCAGTTTAGTCAACAAAGCCACAGTCCCGTCAGCCTCCAGCAGAGGGCGCAATGAGCCGACTATTATATGAACTATGTGTGTGGGTGTGTCGTGTTTTGCTGCATTTACATTTTAAAAGCATTGAAAGGGTCAGTTTAAAAGATCTTTTTCACTACTGAAACATCCTTTTAGATTGTTGGTGATATTCAATCTAGTCTATTTTATTCCAAATTTAGCAAACATTCTTACTCACAGGCCTGTAATTACACATGCAACATGAACATCTGCTCTACACTCTACAAAATAAAGGTAGAACCTGAACCTGGAACAGCCATGGAAACTTTCCATCGCACAAAACTATTGATATCTCATAAATACTTTCTAATATGGCAACATGAATTATGAATAATTTACTCACTGTCATTGTGAAAATAACATGTAATCATCTAATCAATAAAAAGTAACTGTAGTCTAATTACTGTCATGTTATGTCTGAGTTTTTAGTTTAGTTTGAGTTGGATTCTTAGCTTAGTCCAAATCAATTATTTGTGTATCCGATTGGAATCTGATCTAAAATGATTGACTGTCAACACAGTGTATCACAACTGTTCAGATCTGGTTTAGTGGGTCCCGTGCTGCGCTTTTGTTTTCCAGAATATGTGCATACCGCAACATGGAGGGGTCTGCAATAGACCCGTTTTCAGTTAGTAAACATGGTGTTTTTTTTGTGGGCGGGGCTTAGGTGGAGGCAGAACGATCCCTCTGGTCACTTCACTTACGCTAGTTAGCAAGTATTGTTAGCTTGTTTTTAAACAATGACTGGAGAAAATCTGAATTTAAGGTCACTCAGTGTCCAGGACCGCGATTGTTATTTCCAAAAGTTATTTTTAACAGACGGAACCAGATTGGCCGACCCGTAGCCGCCTACACGCTCACTCAATGCATGGACGATCTGACAGGATTAATGTTACGTTACATCGGTTGAGTGGCCTGACTTCTACACATACCTTATTGAGAAACCGATCGTAAAGAGAAACCGAAGGCAAATAAATCTTTAGATATGGTCCTGTACAAGACTTGTGTGTATGATCCGCAGTTCTGCCGAGTCAGCGCCGAGACCACGACAATGTAAAGAGTGACATTACGGTGCGATTTTAATGATGTGAATATTTTCTAGAAATAAAAATTCCAGATACGCATATTCATTTTTCATCAATTCTTGCACCAAACAACACAACAAGATTACATTTAATAATAGTAACAATAATTTAAGCTCCTTATTATGTAGTCGAATCTGTGCTGGTTTGTATTGGCCGCCTCTAGTTTTCACTTTGTTTTGCCTCCAGGTAGGGCCGTGACGTAACTGCGACGTCGGCGCAAAAGGGGTCTATAGAGATGTTGTCTTATTTACAACATGAAAATGTGTAGGCTCTGCAGCGTCTTCTGAGGCGGCTGCAGAAACGAAGGAGGCTTGTCTCATTTATATCGTCATTTTCTACTCATCCTGCACTTTGCAACAACATAACTTTGTTTCTGTAGCGACATTCAATGTTTCCTATAACAACGTCTGATGTTTATGTTTAACGTGCCGTGAGAAAGTCACATAAACCACGCGAAATCAGACCGTAGCGCTTACGGACTGAAACGTACATTTACAGATTTGAATAGAATTTCAAACCACATATTAAGGTAGCTCTAAATGGACACTAACAAGTGCACACTTGTTAAATCTGATTGGATTTGGACTGACAGTCTGACCGAGGCTTTAGCTAGTTTGTCATTGAGGCCTGATTTTTCCCTTTCTGTTTCCTTGGTTTTCACTTTTGCATTAGTTTCTATGGTTACCTATTGTTGGATTTATCTCCCACACCTGATTCTTGTCGTCCTCCCTTTGATTATCCTTGATTCGCCTGAGTTTGAACAGTTCTTTGTCCGTTTTCGAGGTTGTTTAATGGTTGTTCTTTTGCTGAGTGTTTGTATTCTGATTTCTAGAGAGTTTATATTGATTTAAGTGTTAACTGCTGTGTTTAAAATCCAGCCTCAACCACTGCTGACAGAAGATCGGACACTAGAAAGTGTTTCTAGCAGCAGTTCAGATCCTCCTCAACTCACAGGCGGATCGTTCCCTCGAGGACTTCTTTGCCTGTGTGTGTTTTTCCAGCCAGGACTACACTCGCAGACGAAAGCTCTACATCATTTGGATTGAATTATGTGTCATCATTTGGAATAAATAAATGTGTAATCATGAGGCTTGAATCCATCAGGGTCATTTGCATCAATAGAGTCTGGTTAGTTTCAAACAATAATTGTTTAAAGTGTACATATCATGCTTTTAAATCATTCATTTTTACATATAAATCATACATTTGTGGTCTATATAAAGTGAAACGGCAATGCTTGGGTCTGACATCCTCATTATTAAAGCTCCACAGGCCCCTTCTCTACCCCTTTCCTGATGTGCGTCTGTGAGCAACTCGTTTTGGAGCGTCGATGTGTCATACCCCGTCCGCTCTCCAGGTTACTGAGTTCACACTCGGTTCAACTCCACCCCATTCAGCCATTTTTGTAGTTTGATTTAAGATATACGATTATATAGCGTCAAAGAACATTTTTATTCACACTTTAACAAAATGTCAACAACGGAAGATTTGTCTATCAAGCCTTACATGTGCGATCCAGAGCGAGCGAGTTGAAAAAGACGACGACGAACCTGCAGAACAACGTCTTCATACGGATGTAACTTATTGCCATGGTATGTCTATGTAACTGTCTGTATTGTGTTATAAGTGAAAGTCAATTATTTCACTTGTTAAAACAAGCCCACTAACATGATAAATGACTACGGTCTAATCTTATGACTAAAAATCTGTATTGATAATATGATACGTTTAGAAAAGCATCAGAAAACACAGCAGCTAAATGACCATTGATGAAATTCAAAAACAATAATACTGCAGACGTCTAATGTTACTTCAAAACAAAAACAAAGAAAGACAAAGGTACTGATAAACCATGACCACCATGTGTTTTAAGAAAGTAAATCTTTTTATTAACGATAATTTTACAGCTTATCGAAATGCTCTGTTCGTCGTCTCGAAAGATAGAAGGAATTAACCCCCCATTCAGACGAAGTCGATCGGCAAACCCTTCTGTATACTGGCGGAGATTGTTGAAGTGGGGATTATTGAAGTGCTTTGGGTCACTAACGTACATCCAACAACCGAACATTTTGACTTGCCCTCTCGTAACTTCTGCATTATTGAGCTTGGACTACAAAATCGGAGCAAGAAATAATAATGGCTGTTGGGCCGGTAGTCAATGTCCTTATTTGGCAGTTCTGCTGCAAATACTGTGACGTAATTGTTCAAAATACGTCATAGAGAACAGATCAAAACAAAATATGTCCAAAACAAAATATAAAGATATAAACGAAGCACCTGTAGAGAATATTTTAAACTTCCCTGTACTTATAAACACTAAAAAAAAGTGGATTTAGCATGATATGTCCCCTTTAAATTGCTTGCCATAGCTCTCTTTGGATGTGTGCCTAACTGCTGGAGTTTCTCAACATCACTACGTTATTCCCCACTCTTACATAGACATTATCTTTAATGACATAAAGACAATAAAGATTCCTGGATAAAGAGAACACTTCTTATTGATACTCCTATCAGAAGATCGATCTTCTAAAGGAAAGCTCAACGTCTGAATTTTAATACAGTTAAAAAGTTCAATCTGCCCATCAGTTCCTGTTAGAGAGTGAAATACAGAATTGTGGAGCCAGGAATATGGATGTGAATCTAAAAATAGCAACAAAATAGAGCTTTGTTTATACATTTATTCGGATAGAAAAAAAAATCCATTCAGCCCTAAAAACTTTTTTTGTTGCTTGTGTGTGTGTGTGTGTTGTGCTCTTAGTCTTCTGCCAGTTATGGTTGTTTTAACCTCATCAACTTCAGATCATCATGCTAAAAAAGTGCAGGTACCAAATATGTAATCTTTTTAATTAAAATCTGTAGATTTAGTAGAATCAGTGATGGATTTTGTAAATCTGTGGTTAACCTTAATTATCAGCCCACAAGTGTGATAATTATATGCGTAATATAAATTAATGTTGATGAAACTTAGTTGATTGTTTTTCAATACTGACTTATAACAATGTTAGCTTATGTGTTGTCAGGTTTAAGTTGTGATCATGTTTTTGTTTTTTGAATTAACATCTTTTATTTTGAAATGTCTTCTGACGTAACTGACGTAACTTCCTGTGTTCTTCTGCTTCCTGTTTATTCGTTCATGCCATCTGGTCCTGCGTGTGTTTTGAATGTTTATGTCATTCATGAAAGTAAATTAACTACACTTGGGTTACACGCCACAACAAGTCTGGGTGGAAGCTCCTGTTTCAGCGGATTGCCAAGATGATGTATCCGCTGCAGCTGGCTGTCATACTTATGAGTTTGGTTTACCAGTTAAATGGTACGTTAGTGCATTGAAGTCATCTCGTAAAGATCTTATTTGTGAGTTGAACGCACATGAACACCACCACAATGTCGTAAATGCGATTGGGAAGCTTTAAAGAAAGCATGTCAGTGAGAAACATGGCTGAATACCACAATACTTAAAGGTATTCAGCAGTGACACTGTCAGGCTTTTCTATTTACAGGGAAGTAAACTAATTGCCTGGACAGAAAATTATGACATTATAATATGACAATGAAACATGTAATGTATTAATATTTTGAGATATTTTGATTTGTAATGACATTTTCTAGAACCAGAGTTTAAGAACCTTGCTGTATGTCTGTGTAAGTTAATTAGTAAAGAGAAAGTACACTCTTAGAAGAAAAGGTTCTATATAGAACCTTAAAAGGTTCTATATAGAACCTTAAAAGGTTCTAAAGCGCTACGTATTTGGAACCCCTAAAATGCAGTGCATGTGAATGATCACAAAATTCAAGATATGGGGGTTAAAAAATGTAATTAATCAATATCAGACGAAGAGTGCCATTTCAGTTTTTATCCTCCAAAAATCAGCATGATTAAAATGTGATATTAAGTTACTACAACAGTTTAATAAAAAATAATTTAATAACAACTACAAAATGTTGCAGAATAATGGAATATATGAATGAACAATAGCCTTTAAAGAACCTTTGTGCCAAAAGGGTTCTTTCTTGTCATTATTGAAACTTTTTTTAGCATAAAAGGTCCTTTGGAGTTGAGTAAAGAACCCTATGCTACATATATAGAACCGTTTATTCTAAGAGTGTATACCGCTATCTTACACACCTGCCGTTGTAAACACGACTTCCCACTTCGTAAGTACGAAATTCCCAGGAGGACTTGAACGCGTCAGTCATCACACACACCCTCCCACGCAAACACACACACATACACAGATCATTAAAACTGTCTTTTCTATGGTTTTTGTTTCAGAAGCATTCTCCCAGCGTATACCATCTGATTTCGTGTTACTTAAAACACCATATACATTCCCCGATAACCCCAGCAGCTGTGAGAGAGCTCAATGGAGGAAGAGTTCGCCCACAGAAGCAACTATCGCCACTTATCAGAACCAGACCTGGCGGATTGAAGAAGGCTTTCGAGAAGAATTCACATGGAAAGAAAACCACCTGCTACTCAACTCAGCCAAATACACTGACCAGGGGTACTATGAGTTTGACTGTAATGGGGTTAAAATTTCACGTATACTGGATGTTTTGTGTAAGTATTCCCTGTATCTGATTCCTATAAAAAAGTTACTTGAGTCGATGTGTCAGCATCAGCACATGATCAGCGACTGATTTTGATTTAAAATATCCCCTTATAGATGCAAAAGACGTGCATGTGAAAGAGATGGACAACATCACCCTCGACTGTTACGCAGTCAGTCCCAAAGATGTGACGTGGCTGCATAACAAAGAAAGAGTTTTGCACTATAACGGATCCATATACTCTGGCGAAGGCTACAAGGGAAGAGTATCGCTGGAGGAGAACTGCTTTAAAACTGGCGATTTCTCTTTGACTATCACTGGAGTTCGCGAGACAGATGCCGGGATATACCGTTGCTTTAAGGATGATGAAACAAAAGAAGGATACCCACACACCACCTATCATCTGGCACATGTGAATGGTAAGACTGGGAAAGGCGATTCAAATCTTATTTTTTACTTCATATAGACAGACAATACATACTTTGGCATAATAACAAGCCTTATTTTCACTCTAAAAAAGCAATCTGCTCTTTGATTCACACAGGGAACCGCTCCAGTCCAGGAGACCAAACAGACTCCAACTGCAATGAAGCACTATTTCTAAGGCTCGCCATCGTTTTTGGCATTTCATTCATCCTTACTTTAATTTTAGTCATTGTGAAACCTGAGCTGAATTGTCAATCCACATCAGCTACAGCCACCGACCCCGAGCCAAACAGTGACGAAAATGGCCGTATGATGTTGGAGGACATAGCGTCACCCAATAATGACAATCAGCCAAGGGTCCGTCCTTCTGTTCAGGAGAGCGAACCCACAGAGAATAAGCCTTCCAACACCAAGCCTTTTTAATCTGGCAGAACGAGGTCTGTAAAGAGACATGACATTATAGGCCAGTTTCATACCGCCTGCTCAAGCAAAACAACAGCATTACTACAACACCATACAATGTTAATTCATGGTTAGTGGGGCCTTTAAGAACTATTACAAATTTGATTGTTGCAAATGAGGCAGGGCTTCAGACAACCTTTTTCACTAGAAGCACAGTGGCCCCCAACTTTTTAAAAAATTTTAGGGGCACAACCAGAAAATGTAGGAGCACACGCCGTAAATCAACATACTAACCAAATATTCACATTTCAATTAATTTCCAGTCTATTACTAATAAAAAACTTTGATAATAGATGCAGAAATGACAATGCCTTTGTAATCTGATTTAACGTTACAACCTCGTGTCTTTATTATTAACATATTCATTAACATGTCACCTCATACTCTATGCTTGAGGCTAAGATTGTGTTTAACTAGCGTATTGTGTTTAAACTGAAGTGCCTGCACTTAGCGAATGCAAAATTCGCAGTTCATGGAATTCGCCTCCTGACAGTACTACCTTAACCAGCTGAATTCTCAAAGCCAGTCTTCACGAAAATGATTGGTTTGGCCTTTTCGCCACGAAAACCTCGCGCTCTGAATCATCTTCCGACCGTGACACTGTACTATGGCTGCAACATTTCAAATAGCTCACGGTATGATTCAGTATGTGCTATGTTTAGGGAAAAAAACACTACTGTCAAATAAAATAAAGAAAATATGAACAAATAATCTAACCACAAGCAAAAGCACAAATAAATACAATAGAGCGAAGATCCTGATAAAATAAGCTATGCTTTTAAGGTAGGTCTAACATTCGTTTTCAGGTACAGAAATTGAATAAAATAATCAAATGTAAAATAACAGTGCATATTTTACCACAAATTAAAGATTAATCCTTATTAAATTTGCAAAAGCTATTCAATTCAGAGCTGATTCAATAATACTACACTGGTACTGTGAGTGTCTATCTTGACCATATAAGTCTATACTTGAGACATAACAGACTATGTCTGCCTGGATACTCATCAAGACGGACACGTTGACATACTTTTTGTGTGAATTTGTCAAATCAAGTGCACAGACACGCGCACAAATCTTCTAGACGCAAGTTCTCTTTCGCGTCTTGCTCTTGAATGTTTACATTGGCAAAACTTAAATGAGTTTAGTTTAAACACCGATGGTAACGTCTACGGTTCAGGTCTCGCCTGCGCTCGTGCGCTATTAACTCTCGGGTGATGATGGCGTAAATGACTGGTCATGTTCGAGCAGCACTCATTTTGAACAGTCTTCGTTTTGTAATAATCGTAAGAGTAAAATTAACAGAGTAATCGTTTTGTTCACGTTTTTTGATTTTCGCTGTTGTAATGTATTATTTGGGAAGCCAGCAAGTAAATTTAACTGGCACGCTAGCCGCTGGTCGGAAGAACGAGTCAATAGTTCGCTTGTTCACTGCTCAAACTTACAGCAGGTTGTCTCCATCTCCTTCCCACAGACGTTTAATCTCCAGGGCCCTCCCCCTCCACACATCAGCCACTTACAGTGGCCATTTCCTATTCTTCTCACACTCATTGGCCTGCCACACATTCCAGATTCATTGATAAGCCGCTTCCAAGTTTAAAAAAAAAAATTCCAGTCGCACATGTGTAAAATTCAGACACACGCTCTCACCCATTTGGTAGCAGTCTGGAGCCCTGTGAGGAGAGGGACCACATTTACAGTAAATGGTCATGAGTCTACATGATCAAGCCCATGTCTACATTCTTACACCAGTTTTGGTGATCTGGTTAACTGTTCTGCCATAATTATATTTTTTTTTTTCTTTAGTGAGAAAATGGGAGACTTTCAAATCACAAATACACTGATTTCCCTTTACCTGTGTGCCTTTTTTAATCTTAATGTACTGTGTGTTTTGGAAGGAAAAGAATCTTTGTAATGTTAAAGTGCCTTTGCCAATAAAATCCATTTATCTTCTTTTAACTATTTTAATAGTAGTGTTTTAGGTGTTTAGCTTAATTTTTGTCCTTTACAACCAGTATGCAAAGTGTCCTGTTGCCTGTCAATGAAATATACTGTATTTTATATTGACTAAATGGTATTACCAAATGTTTGTGAATTATTATTGCTTATTGTATAATTACTAGTAAAGGTCAATTTAAAATTATGTGTCAATCTTCTGGTAGTGTAACTACTGCTTAAATGTATAAAGGGGGTAGGCGTCAATAAGCTTAAGCTTCTCCTTTTGAGCATCATATCCATGTTTTTAATTTTGCTTTATTTACTTACGCATTTATTGTACATGTATCCTTCTTTAGTTTTGTCTGTGCTAAAGTTTGTAAGTTTTGTGGAACTATTTAGTTTCAATGATGTTGTTTCAATAAACAGTGTATTTTCACTCAGCCTTGTTGAGCAGAAGAGCATTTTTTAAATAAAATAAAAAGTATTACTGACAACAGACTTCAAATAAGCCAAACACGTGTGAATAACAGATGATTTACCTCCTTTCCCCTCACTGTCAGCAGGCTTCACTTGAATGGGCCGATTCATCTGAAAAACAAAAACAATAAAAATGAATGGTTAAAATGTCTAAATAATTCAAATGACATATTTACACATTCTGCAGCATACCGGGCAATTCTACCAATGGATTTATCCATACACAGCATTTTATAGCCGTGTTTAGCTCATAGTTGCTTTGCTTTTGAAAGTGAATTTCTGTACAGACACAAACCTTAATGTTGTGGTTACAGTTAAAGGAGAACTCCGGCGCAAAATGAACCTTTGGTCTAATTACACATTGGTACATAGTCAACCGTTCTCTGAGATTTGTTTTCATGATTATCGAATGTAAAGAGTTTTATCTCTAAAAACTGTTTAGCGTATAACGCTAGTATATGGGGCATAGAGTAATGACAAAGAAAAATCGCTAGTTTATACCACTAACAAGGCTCAAAATAGCCCAACACTAACACGGTAGCATAATCAGGGTCCCTACATGCAAACCGAAGCATTGAGAATGTTGTAAGTGTACAGACCGTTTAATAAGAAGATATTTTATAAAGACAGTCTAGGTCGTGTATACAGGCAGGAGCCATCTTTGGAAAACAGTCTCGAGCAATCGAACCACGAACCATGAATGATCAGATTGCAGGAACGGAACTTAAAAACCGGTTACATAGAAAAAAAATCTACTGAACAGTTATTATTAACAGGTACATTATTGTGGACAAGTTCACTTATATGTGGACCCTATGGCTGGGGCATGTAGTCACATAAAACTGTATGAGGTGGATAACACTTCTAACAAGCAAGAGAATAATGTAAATCAACGATTTAGATTACAGCCCAGAAAGTACTGTGCAATTAAGACAAATTTACATTGTAACCTTTTAATTAATTATAATAACCATACAGTACTTACATGTAAGTATAAGGGAACAATATGTAAAGTTTGGGGAATAAAGAGGTAACAACCAGGATTGATGATTTATACTGTAAGTATTTTATAACTAGGGTAATTATTCTACAATTATGATAAAACAATCTTGGGAGCAATTTAGCGAGAACATTCACTGCGAACCTTTTTGTAAAATGATGTACCAATACATACTGTATAGGCTTTTTAAATGCTATGATGCATTTACACCATTTTTTTTTATAGCAAAAGTGCAGATGTTTAAGTTTAGGCTTATATGTTTATTTTTTTAAATAGTGAGAAATATAGGCTACTTGTTTCATGTAGTAACAGGGTAAGTGTGACACTGCAGGCCATAAAATAAAGTGGTGCTTGTTACCCTCATGTTTCATAGTTACAGGGTAAGTACAATAAAAATACATACACACAATCTAATATCTAATTTAACTGATTTGAAAAACAACTTATTACTGAAGCGACAGTCTACAGTTTAAAAATTATTGCAGTTATTGCAGTGTGTGCTTTTTGATGCTCCAACTTTTCCAAACACATGAGCTTGCATTATATGCATTCCCAGAGATATTTTTTATTTTTCTAAAAACCTTCATTTGAGTTAATCTAAAAGAAGGAAAGTCATATATATATATCATGGATGGCAAGAGGGTGAAAGATGAGTAAATGAGGACGTATTTCTGAGTGTTCTGCATTTTCTTTGAATACATAATACAGAATAACAAGAGACATAATTTCTTCTTCAGATTCATCAGTGGAAAGAAAGAAAAATAAGAAGGGGAACAAAAGGAAGAGGGGGGGGGCAAAGTGTGCTACTTTCTGACTTAAGACTGTTGATTAAATAAATAAAGGGGAGGGTTATAAATCTGTTTTGGAGTCATTGATATAAGATATAATTTGTGTATGCATTTTTATTCTACTTACCCTGTAACTACATGGAACTAGAGTATCTTCCCTCATAAGCAATAGTTTTAGTATTCAGTGCACTTTTGCTAAAGGCACACTATGCAGGAATTCCATTTTTGTCAAACAGTGACCCCTAGAGTCACTGTGGAGTACTTGTATTTCACATTACTGTCATAAATACCACTCACACAGAGCATCTCTTCACTCACTCACTACACTGCCAGTCTATTTTGGTATCACTGATTTAAGACAACACAGAACATACGATCTGTGACTGGTCACTTTACACGTCATGGACAAGATTAGCATGAAACAGACTTTATCCTGATTTCCATGTGCCTTTATATATATATATATATATATATAATATCATGTCAACTTTTGACACTGCTGTCTCTGCACTTAAACTAATGTGCACAGGATTGTAGAGAGATCAGCTTTAGAATGATGGCCATCTGATCAGGATTACAGAGACACGCTGGATTACACTGAAGAGCGTGTGTGTGTGTGTGTGTGTGTGTGAAAGAGAGAATGTGTGAAATCTGGTGAGATGTTTGGAATCAGTGTTGCTGAATGGTTTAAAATGTGTTGCCATGGTGTGGTGTTCTGTGATGCTGCTTAGTGGCTCAAGACAAAACCACCAGGACTGATCCCACTAATAAGCCTGAATCAGGGAGAGAGAGAGAGAGAGAGAGAGAGACGACAAACACAGGAAATATACTGTAAAAAGAAAGAACCAGTTTGTTTCTTGACATGAACAAAGAGTAATAGATGAAAGTAAACACAGTGCTGTTCATCATGCAGAGGCCAAGCACCCATACATGTATTTAAAATCAACCAAAGTATCAAATTAACTGCTGAATTAATTGGTTGACATTGTGTGTGCATAACTCAGACATGTTTTGATGGCATTGGTAACAGTCCATTGATGCTCTCCATGTGATTGGTCAAGTTTATTTAAATGGAATGTGCTGAGATTG